AATTTTCAAAGCTGGAAAGCATTCTGCAAAACGACCTAGTTTCATTAGTCCAAGATCCCAAATGATTATTTGTTCGGGATTAATAAGTGTGCAGGTGATTACTATAAATACTAAAATATTATAAGCCTACTAATACTGGTTCAATTGAGAAAATCGTCACAAATGAGGAATCATAATAAGTGTTTCAATTACAGATATTAATAAACGGAGTATGATGATAATTTCTCCAGCTCGAGCCATGCTTATTATCAACGAGAGAAGACAATTTGCTAGTTTGTGATAGTTATATGAGGCTTCATACATGATGCATTTAGTTATCCAATAGTACTAATAGTTGTTTGTACAGTCTATGCAGTTCTTACCAGGAAAATTCCAGAAGCGTTCAATGAATCCAAATACATAGGTAAAACGATGATAATATTTAACCTTTTCTCAATTTGCGAGTGGAAAGGGTTAAAATTGATATTTTAATTTTTCATCTAATCAATTTCGTGATGCCTAAATTTGTCGTTTATAAATTTTTATACTAGAGCAACTATCATTTAAGGGGGTTGTTCGTTTTTCTGTTACAAAAAATGCAAGGTATTTGTTTATGTTTTTCTCGAAATTTATTTATCATAGAGACATGCGGTTTTTTCTAAACAAAAATTACAAAATCATAGAATATTAAGAATTTTTTTTTGCCGTCATTTTTTAACCGGGGGCGCCAAAGTGGGTATTGCAAAATCGCAAGACAAAAAAATGGCAGCTATTTAAAAAAAAGTGTCAAAAAGGGCCTTTTTTGGGACGAGAAGCTTCGCAAATTTTTTTTGCGTAATATTATGAAGTTGTTTGAGGTAGGGGGACTAGGTATTGCAGTGGTGAACAAATTTTAAAAAAATGCAAGTCCATCCGACTTGTAATTTTTTTTTTAAATTTGTGGCACCGCATTGAAAAAAGTCATTTTGAGAAAAACGTATTTAAAGTTTTTAATATAATGTACTAAATACACCATTTAATTTAATGTACTAAATACATCATGGTGTTCAAAGATGCTGACACATTAAAAAGGTCATGTGCATGAAGAATTATAATGAAAAAGAGAGCAGCTGGCATACAATAGCTCGCGGAGCGATGAAAAAAACGGTTTCAGAGGATCATACATATAGAGATATATATATCTATAACTTCGTCAAAACAATAGATATTGAGATGATTTTTTTTTAAATAATTCTATTTTAGCTTTCATAATATCAAAAAATCTCAAAATTGAAAAAAAAAAACCGAACAACCCCCTTAACAAGTCGAAGGAACATTGATACGTCCTTAATATGACTAATATGTTTCATAGTTTTATTTTTTTTTATATTTTAGGTTTCACTATGTACACAACATGTATAATATGGTTGGCGTTTGTACCATTATATTTTGGAGTAGGAAACCATGTGCCCCTAAGAATCACGAGCATGTCAGTTACCATATCATTATCAGCAAGTGTCACGGTTGCTTGTTTATTTTCTCCAAAGGTAATCCAATAAAATATTTTCATAGTTTTATTATAAAACATTAATTTCATATATCTATACATCTGTCTGTTATGTTCTGGATCATATATTGTTCAGGTTCTTTCATAAATTACTCATTTTGGGTTCTCCCATGAAAATTCAAAATCTGCTTTATTTTTTAAAAATGTCACTCACAAAGATCATATTATATTTCAGTTGTATATAATTCTAATACATCCCGAGAGAAACGTTCGTCAATCTATGATGCCATCACGCAGCGTTCTCAAATCTACAAATGCGACGCACGGTTCAGGAAGTGCTGTTGCTACTGTAGCCTCACATGGATTGAGAACAGCTGGTGGAATTAGTGGCGACAGAGAAAAAATCGCAATTCGTGCAGAGGATAATGATGCACGTAAGTTTTTCAGGAAAAATTATCATTTGCTGTTCAAAAATGATTTTTATGGAACTTTTTTTGACGATATATATCATGGTCTTATAGAACTTACTGAAATATTACGAAAATTTATCAAAGTTTGAGAAAATGAGTAGTTAAAATTGAAATTAGACGATTTACAACGATAGAGAATTTTGTCTTAATGAACTTACTGAACCATTAGTCTTACGGAAACTGGTTCAATTATAAAAATGATTAATTTGTGAAAATTTGCTTTTAGAGAATACTCCGAGTTAACGTGTTCGTTCGTTTTCAATTATATGTAATAAATCCACTCGAAATACTTTTGTTCACTCATAAATTAATTTATTTTTTATTGATTAAGTCGATTATTCGGGAAGTTCATGTAACTTGCCTCAAGGCAAACTACCAATACCAACTTGTTTTTTTATAATTTTCAGGTAAAGAATTATATAAATTGACGGATAGTTCTACTCAAACAACGTTTCTAACTAGCAGCACAGAAAAACTCACCAACAAACAAATTAATCGCAAATCCTGTAATAAAAAAGAACTTATTTTAAATCCAGAAAACTTACAGGATAGCACATGTCTTGTAAATAACAATAAATCCTCTCACGAAAAACAAGGCACAAACAAGGCGGAATTTTAATACAGGAGCTTCCATTATAGCAAAAAGATTTGGAAAAATCAGTAGATACTGAAAATAGTTCTGAAAATAGCGCCAATGGTAATGGAAAGACAAAAAGAGTTGCTATAGTTGTTTAGATAAATTATTGTGATCTCGGTGCGATAGAACATTCATTGCAAATGTTTTAATCAAATTTTACCAAAGGTAAGGAGAAGGAGATTTTAATTATCAAATATCATTTTAACAGGTAAATCATGAAAGACAACAATTATATTAATATAAGCATAAACCACTACATAGAACATAAAGTTTTTCATTTATTTTAATTTCATCATGATTCTTATAGGAAACAATTTTTTTTCCCCACTTCTGCTCCAGTAAGTTTGACTAATCTAGTATCAATTATTAACGACTCTTTCATTATTTATAAATGTACAAAATGTGATTTAAAAATATTATATAAATATTGCTCTATTTAAATAGGTGATATATTTATTAAAAGTGTATGATAAATAATATATGTAAAATATAGATTAATATATTTTTTATGTTCTTATACTTAATTATAATACTGCCATAAATTTTAATTTTTATTTACAATATTTAGTTATTATATACTAACTGAAAAAATAGTAATTATTTTTATTTGTGTTGGATATCCATATTATTCAGTTAATATAATTTCATATTATATTAATATAGAATGTTTTCTGCATTTGTTAAATTACAATTTTTGATAATTCAAAAAAAACAAGCAAACTTTATGTTGTATTTGATTTGTAAATTTAAATTTTGGTGTCTTTAACAAATAGAGATACTTATTTTTTTTATAGAAACAGAGTTTGTAATAATTTTAAGTATCAGTGCATTTATTTTTAATTGCTCTTGACCACTTGAGCAAAATCTAGTATATAGTATTTCTATTGAGAAAACACTTTATATTAAAAAATCCAATTATTTAGACATCAGTTTTCATAAAAAACTTTTAAGAATTCAGAGGTTTTGTAAATATAAAAAGATCGTATTTTAAGAACAATGTAGAAATATGAATTTTCAAATTTTGGCATAATGCTGAAGGTTAGTCTCAACATGAATAAATAGTGTATATAATAAAAACGGTTCATTCATTGTATATTTAATCTATTCTTATAAGTATATAAAATGACATTTTATATCGTTAATACTATTAAGTAGTATTGAAGACCATGCTTTTTTTACAAAATGTACCAAAGTTAGCCATCGTGCTAAAAGATTTAAATGCATAGTGCAAACCACATTTAATGTACAGATAATAATATTTAGATGCATACTGAATGTAAGTAGATTACATAAATGTTTTTAAATAATGTAAATATTGTTATTAAAAAATATGTAATTTTACGATAACATTTGGAATTACTTAAGAATTGTTCAATCTTTGAGTCCATGATTGCACAATTCAGAAAATAATTTTTTAACTGTTCCATGTATTTTTTAAATGTTTTAATAAAGGATAAAATATCGTATTCCATAATCTTAACTATTTTATTTCTTTAAGTCAAAATACCACTTCAACTAGTTACCGATTTATTAACTTCCCGTAGGGTAAGTTATAGTAATCGCAAAAAAATCGAAAATGAAAATTTTTATATATCTTTACGTTTCAAAGGTTTCTGAACATTTTGCCATACCTTAGAAAAAATGGATGTATGTGTGTGTGTGTGGTGTGTGTGTGTGCGGATACAAATTTCCGTCGACGATTTCAGGAACATGGATCAACCGATTTGAATAATTTAAAAAACATTCGATTCGTATTGATAAGGTAACGTGCTGATTAGTTTTTGGCGAAGGCAGGTCTAGCCGTTCCGAAGTTAAGGGGCAAACAGTGCCAAAAACGGTAACTCAGTTTTTAAGAGAACGGAGCATCCTATATTAATAATTCAAAAATATTTTACTTGTATTGGCAAGATGAAGAATTGATTAAATTCTTGGGAAGGCAGGTTCAGCGGTTATGGACTCTCAATAAAACTAAATTAAAAAAATGTCATTTGGCGCTCAAAAATGTTTATTGGACCTATGTACATCAAATTATCAGATGTTTTATAGAGATTTTTATAATGTGTACACATTTTGTGTAATTTTTTTGGGGTTTCGTACAAAGATTTTTTATTACGGTCCGGAAAGTACCAGCAATTTGCCCTAAGGCACGATGCCATGAACCCGACTAGTTTAATATTTGTATTAAAAGAATTACCAAAGTTTATGCAACTTTCCTTAAGGCGAAATATAACTTACACCTAGTAAGAATCAGATTTGTTCATATTGATTTGAAATTGGCGCTTTTTCTTGTAAGCACGTTTTGAATATGAAATTAGAGTTGTGGCAAACCTGCAACCGGCATTTACCGATGACACGGATGACACAATCGACAGTGACAGCTATGGCTGTCAAAATGTCATAATGGTCATAATCAGTTAAAGAAGTGGTTTGGATATCGAGATAATCTTTCACATCTAAAAATATATTGTGAAATACTATATTATATACATTGACAAAATTGAAAAATCTAATAACTAAATTAAATCTTAAAAATGGTGTTCAAGTGTCAAGAAGATAGTTTCTTGCAAGAAGTAATTATTTTGCATTATAAAGTTTCTTACATTATTCAAACGTTTAATTTACAATTTTAACTATGCTATTATATTTTATTATTATATTGTAGTTCACATCCAAAGTATTATCGTGTGAAAAGTCTGTTGCTACTCTAGTAATCGATGGCAATAAACAGAAAATTGAAGGTTACGATGTTATCATGGAAGATACAATCCTGTTTCCCGAAGGAGGTGGACAGGTAGTTTTAATTAAACCAATAATAAAATATCATTTCTTATGATATATTTAAGTGTCTTACTTATCAAAGCCTTATGACACTGGTTTCATAAATGATGTAGAAGTATTACAAGTTGTGAGAAAGGGAAGCAAAGCAATACATTTTGTTAAAACACCTGTAGAAGTCAACTCCAATGCACTCCAGAAAGTTAATTGGGAGCGAAGACTTGATCATATGCAACAGCATTCAGGTAAATAAGGAACAAAAGATTTTATGTAAACATTGATTTACTGAATTTAAAATTCTTTATAATATTGTTTCAGTTTGTGGTTTAAAAATTTAAAATAATTTTGTTTCTTTCAATATAGGACAACATTTACTATCAGCTGTCTTAGAAACCAAATTTGGGTATAGTACTCTAGCTTGGTGGCTCGGGGAGAATGTTGCATATATTGAGTTAGATACAAAACAAGTGACTGAAGATCAAAAAAATGAAGTGGAAGCAATTTTAAATAAATATATACGTGAAAATTTAGCAGTAAAAGTTTTAGTTTATGAGAAAGATGATCCTAGAATAAATGTAAGATAATAGAAGCAATAACCAGAATAGTAGTTATGGTCAGAATTATAAAAAACAAATTTCTCTGTTCACTAATTATTTATTCATTTGATAATAGCGATATACAAAATTATTTATTGAACTAAATAAATTATATATTTTTTTAAAAATTAATCACTTATAACATTTGTAGATAGCTATTTGTGTTTTATAGGATGCTACAAGAAATGGGAAAACATTGCCAGCAGATCATGAAGGAGCAGTCCGTTTGATTGAAATTGCTGGTGTTGATCTAAATCCTTGTTGTGGAACACACGTTTCTGCATTAGGACAATTGCAAGCTATAAAATTATTAGGAGCTGAGAAAGGCAAACAAGGCCGCGTAAATTTAAATTTCTTAGTTGGAGGAAGAGTTTTAAAATACTTACAAAACTGTTTAGAAAGAGAAAATTCAATGACTGAGATTTTAAAGTAAGTATTAATTATTAGGTAATAGAATTTAAACTGTGATGTAATGAGAATCATTTATTTGTCTCTGTTTTTAAAGATAGTTGTAAAAAAGTTTTTTAAATCACTTATTTCATTACAAATTCCATGTATCATGTATTATATAATACTTTAGGAAAGTATATTCTATTATAATACTGTTCAAGCTTAAGCACAATGAAGAAAACTTTATGATTTTTATATATTTTTGCATTTTCTAGAGGTGGACCAAGAAGTCATCCAGATCTTGCTCAGAAATTGCTGACATCACAAAAAACTGCTTCTAAAAATTTAAATGCATGTTTGAAGTACATAGCCAAATTAGAAGCTGAGAAATTACTTGCTGCAACACCAAGGCCTAAATATTATTCTTTGCATAATTCTGAAGCTGCCGATTTTCCTGATTTCATGAACTGTTTTATTAAAGAAGTGAATTCAACAGATATTTTATTACTTTTAACAGTCGGTTGTGATAAAGGTGCAGGCAATATGGTTCTTTTCGGTCCAGAAGAGTTAGTAATGGAACTTGGGCCTAAGATATGTGAACTTTTAAATGGGAAAGGAGCTGGTAAAGGTAACAAATATCAGGCGAAAGTTAATAATTTGAAAAATAGACAGACATGTTTAAATCTAATTGCATCTAAATTTGAAGTATAGATTCAGAATATTATTTGTATTTTGTTGGGAAAATATAGGAATTAGTGCAAAAAGTAAATTTTTATTATTTAATTACTTAAATTCTGTAGTTTTTTTTCCAGAAGCAATCGTTTCGACAACACAAGCAGAAAGTTTTTTGAATTTTTCAAATCCGATCCTTATTTCTCTCAAAAACTACCATTTTTTTATTCTGAACATTTTGGCATACCTTAAAAAAATTGATGTATGTGTATGTGTGTGTGTGTGTTGTATGTATGTGTATGTGTGTGTGCGGATACAAATTTTCGTCGACGATTTCGGGAACACCGATTTGAATAATTCAAAAAACATTCGTACCGGTTAAGAACTCGAACATAACCTCAAATTTTTACTATTACGAACATGTTCAACCACAATTAAACATGACCTGTAAAACAGAATATTTTAATATAAAACATAGATAAAAAAGTAGAAACTGCATAAAATTGTCGTGACTATTTATTTATCTACAATACATAAACGAAGTAAAATAATACTTATTGATAAATCATAATTAATACAACTGTCAAACAGATCCAATTGACAAATGATGTAACATAACACTTTAGGAAAAGAAGGAACATTTTTATAAGAAATAAAATTCTTAAGAATCAAAATGAAGTTTCCTAAACCTGTTTATTACCTTAGTGCAATTGGCACAGCAGCAGGAATATCCTTTTGTGTTAAGTAAGTAATTATAACCGATTTTAACCTGATTGTTTCAGATTTTAAAAACTCATAGCTTATTATTCATTTAATACTGGAGTAAAGAAACGTGCATTTAATTTATAAGTTATCAGTAAATTTAGACTTATCATTCTGCCTGCACACTTGTTGATGTATTATTGTTTTTCATCGTGTTCAAATTTCATATAAGTTCTTACAAATATATTAACAAAGTCTGAAGTTTCATAAAACTGTCAACAGTCAAGTCAAGTTTAATATTGAAAATACTATGGATCGATCAATTCTTTTGAAAGCCCATTAATCGAAAAATAAGTACTGTAATGTAATGTAAAATAATGTACTGTTGTCCTTTTCATGTTTAATTGATTATGACTCATTTTCTTTGATGCACTGAAGAAAGTCATTGCCATTTATGCATGCAAAGAGTCACACATAAATGAATTTGTCTTAATACTTTATCAAAATATTTCTAAGGGACTATATGAGCGGTGGAACATTTGAATCAGATATTAGAGCAGATGGAAAAGTAATTGTAGTTACAGGAGCTAATACAGGAATTGGTAAGGAAACTGCAAGAGAACTAGCTAAACGTGGAGCTCATGTGTATATGGCTTGTCGAGACATGGAACGTTGTGAAAAGGTAATAACCGTAGATTGTGATGTATAATGAAAGAATAATTTCATTCATCTTTATTCATTTTCAACAAAGTTCTTTTGGTACAGTTTTAATACAAATATTATTTAAAATAAGGTTGGAATTAAGCAAGCAATTTAACATTAAGTAATCAAAACATTTCCTGAATTTTCAATTAACTTTATATAAGAATATATTTAGAGATCCTATTGTATTAAATTATTATTTTTGTTTATTTTATCAGCTTAATTAATATTGTTATTTTTAATATTTACAGGCTAGAGAAGAGATTGTATTGGAGACTAAAAATAAATATGTCTATTGCAGAAAATGTGATCTTTCTTCATTGAACTCTGTTCGAGAGTTTTCTAAAGTGTGAGTTATTTTATATATTGATCATAGTACCAATAGTATTGGTCCATAATTTTACAAAATCTTTTTTTTATCTTATAATTATATTCATAAATAAGCTTAGAAAGCAATTCAGATTCAATTTTGAATGATATCTTTCTCAAAAACTAGTTTTAACAAAAATCATTAAGAAATATTGGTATAGTATTAAATATGATTAATGAATAATTTTTTATAGATCTATTCTATATCGAGATTATGTCTGGGTAATTGCTTTAATCCTATTCTTTTCATAAACTATGATGTGTCAATATCTATTTTCACATAAAAATATTGTTAAAAAATATGTTTGCAATTGAAAATGTCCCATTAGTGCATGAGATATAAAATAGCAAGGAGAAAATTTTCACAGCAGTTTTCTGAATCAAACTCGAGTGTAATACATAAGGTTTTGTTTTAGTATGCATAATGAACGGAAGCATATAGATGTATTAATCAATAATGCTGGTGTCATGAGATGTCCATTATCAAGAACTTCTGAAGGCTTTGAAATGCAGCTAGGTGTGAATCATCTTGGACATTTTTTGCTCACAAATCTACTTTTAGATATGCTGAAGGTATATTTTTTATTTTTATTCTTTTTATTAACTTGTTATATTATTATTTTCAAAATTGCGCATTTAGGCATCACCATCTGCTAGAATTGTTCATGTTTCAAGTTTAGCTCATACAAGAGGCAAAATAAACATTGAAGATTTAAACAGTGATCATTCCTATGACCCTGGTGCAGCATATAATCAGAGCAAATTAGCAAATATCATGTTCTCAAATGAACTTGCAAAAAGATTAGAAGGTAGTAAATTTGATTTATAACTCGATTTGTATTTCACCAAGTACAAATTATTCTCAATTCCTCACCAGACATTTGTTTATTATTCACTATATTATAGATTGGGTAATATTTTTTTTTCTGACTAACAAAATTTGTTCTAAGGTACAAATGTAACTTCCAATGCTTTACATCCTGGTGTTGTTGATACTGAACTGGTGCGACACATGCCTATTTTTACCTCAAGTGTTTCAAAACATATTTTGAAATTTTTGTTATGGCCTTTTGTTAAAACACCTATTAGTGGGGCACAAACATCTCTTCATGTGGCTTTGCATCCAGATTTAGAAGGAGTGAATGGAAAATATTTCAGGTATCTTTGAAAATTTATTTTGATTATATTTAGATATACACTTATCCTCCGTTGTACACAGTACTTGTTTTAAACTTTTTGATCTTACACAGTTTGATTTTATTTTACCAAAATCCATGCAAAAATATTACATTTACATATATATATTACATTTAACAAATTAAGTAATTTTTGTTTTAGTGATTGCAAAGAGAAACAAGTGGCTGTTCAAGCAACCGATTCAAAAACAGCTTCTTGGCTGTGGGCTGTTAGTGAAAAATGGACTGGTTTAATTAATTAACTATATTGTAAGAGTTGACTTTTATTAGACTTGTTATTAAATAATATAAAGCATAATATATTTTTTATTCTGAAATTTTCTGTTTTGCAGATTACCTTACTTTTGTTGACATACTCATTTTGTTTCAAAATTTTCAGAAAAATTGTTTGTAAAATTTTTAAAAAAAAATCTTTTCAGGTTTTGAAAAATAAAGTCTCTTTTCAAAAAAAGATATTTAAAAAAATTGAGAATAAAGGATTTTGCCATAAATAATTGACCCCACCCTGGTATTTATTTAATTTATTTGCCATTTTATAGGTTTTTAAAAAAATAAAAAAAAAACGATATACCAATTTTCAATTTTGTACCTCATCTCATGCAAAAGTTGCCCCTTCTTTTAAACTCGCTTTTTGGCTAAGAAAAGAAATAAAATAAGATAAAATAATTTTTCAATTGATGTTTTTGGGTAGTGCGTTTAGTTGGACTGCTTTCTAATTAGCATTATTTGAAAGATAAAATTGCCATCAGACTAACCAACTCACTGAAAGGTAAGTTTTTAAGATTTATTCTTGCACTAATAATGAAGTTTATAATAAATAATTTGACATAATTTTTTTTAAGCAGTTTTTCTCTTGAAAGTAGTTATAAAATGTTTCAAGGGTTTACTAAACGCAAGTATAGCTATGAATCGAATAAGCAGGGTAAAACATTAAGAAAGAAATTACAAGCTGAAATATTTGCTGATCTTCTTGATTGATATTAAACAATAGTGCTCATAATTATTTATTAAGTCAGCTAAGAGAAGATACTAGAATTTTAAATGGAAGGAAATTCATGCTTAATGATAAAATTTTAGTCAGTGCAAAGGGTAGTTTAGGTTTGGCTATGTCCCACAAAAAGTTTGTGAGTTGCGATAGTTACATTTTGATAATACAAGAAATGTTATTATCTTATGAAAGTTCGTGTGTTTGAAATTGTTGCAAAAATAGTATACGATTTATGTTGAACTAATGAATGTATTAAACTATTTATTTATTTATTTAAATTATACAATGTGTTTAAGGAAAATTAGGAAAAAATAAAAAGGCTAGAGCTATTAGGGGAAATTAGAAAGAAATAATGAAATATTTGTTTAAATGTAATATAATTATATAAACAGTTGGGTATTTATAATATGTATTATTGGTGTTTAAAAAGCTCAATTTTCGTGTGAAAGTAGCGTACGTATTTATCAACTTTGCTTTTTTTATGTTCTTCTTAGTGCGTTCTAATTGTTAAGTACATTTTTGTAGCAAAGTTGATAAGATCATGATAAGAGCTGGAGAATTTATTAGAAATGACTTGATCTATAACTAGCTGTAAGTGGATTTCTGTCTTAAGGCAATTAGGGCATCGTGCCTTAAGGCAAATTGCTGGTACTTCCCATACCGCAATTCAAAATTCGAGTAATTAAAAATAATCAATAAAAGTTGATCAATGATTTGAAACTTTTAATAGAATTTCGAACCATATTAAATCATTCTATCTTAAATAATTTATTTTGAAATATTTTGGAGATTCCGAACCTTTTTTAAAGCAATCGGACTGCTTTAACTACATAAAGATATGAAATATCAAATAAGCGCGTACGCGCTGCGTCGCCGTCTAACGCGTAAACATTGGTACCGAACCTATAGGAATGTAAACAAAATTTATACTTATTGTTAAAACCTATATAAAATATCTGATAATTTGATGTGCATATGTCTAATGTTTATTTTTGACCGCCAAATGGCTCATTTTTTTTACTTTTTCCTTCATATCTCCAAAGTCGTTGGACCTGCCTTTGGAAAAATTTGAACAGTACTTCATTTAGTCAATACAAATACAATGTTTTTTGAATTATTCAAATCGGACGCTCCGTTCTCTTAAAAACTGAGTTACCGTTTTCGGCATTTTTTGCCCCGTATCTTCGGAATGGCTAGACCTGCCTTTGCTAAAAACTAATCAGCACGTCTTCTCATCAATACGAATCGAATGTTTTTTGAATTATTCAAATCGGTTGATCCGTATTCCCGAAATCGTCGACGAAAAATTGTATCCGAACACACACACATAATCCATTTTTTCTAAGGTATGACAAAATGTTCAGAAGGTTTTGAAACGTAAAGATCTATAAAAAATTTCATTTTCGATTTTTTTGCGATTACTATAAACTTGCCCTACGGGAAGTTAAAAATGTGCAAGCTTAGTAATCCATGTAATATAAGGTCTATGATAACAATAAAAACACTTGAAGTTTGAGTAAATCGGTCACGAGCGCCCTGTCTATAACTACGTTCACGTATCGCTTTTACTCATAAATTAAAGTATTTGTTAATATACCTTATATTTGAATTAATCTATTTAAAATTAACAATGAATTAAATTTCAAAAGTAATTTATGAACACAAAATTTTAAATCTAACCTAAGTTACTAAGAAAGTAGAAGGGAAATTGCAATTCGTTTGATACATTCAAATTTGACGTTTAATGCAATCTCAGCATGCATATTTCATCTTGATAGTCTGAAACATAAATTAGGTTTTATCATTTTAATAACTTCTGGAATTATTTTTTTTTTCTTTTTGAAATATTTTGTCATTGCTGGCCAACACTAATGACGTTAATAAATTGAATTAAATCAACAACAAAACTTTGAGAGCCAGTGTCAAAGTCAAAAATAAATATGTTACTGTCGAGACCTGAATTTTGTATGTTTTTAAAGCAATGTTGCCGACAAAATTATAATAATGGCCTAAAAAGAGCATATTCTCGGCGTAGTGATTCAAAAACCACCAGTGCAAGTTATAAAACTGTCAAATCGACAAATCTTGTGAATGGTAATAATTTTTAATGGACCTTGGAGTATAGTGCTTATTAATCTTAACTTTATTGTATCTATTAGATGGGTCAAATACAGAATTACATGAAGATCCTAATTGGGAACTGCTTGCCCCTAGAGGGTACAGATTTTTACTGCCAGGGTCCATTGGAGCTGCTTGTCAAGGAGTCTCGACAACTTGGGCTCCTGAAGGCGCTCTTAGAAAATTAGTGAATGTAGATCAAAGTGTAAGTAATATTAACGTCAACAAAGTCATACTTTTGAATATAGATCCATGGCATTGTTAAATTTTATCAGGTAAAGTTTATCAGTTTATGAATTGCATCATCCATTGGTTAGGCCCATATTAGCCCATTCGAGTTTTGGTTCTTGAGAGATATATTATTTTTTGACTTAACTTTTATAGCATATGTTCAAGTAATTTTGTTTCCAGACTTTAGTATGCTATTTAATTGATTATAACTTGTTATTAATTGCATCGATTGAAAAACATCATGCGTGTGAGAATTCATTTCCTAGAGCATTTACATTGTTACAGTTTTGGAATTGTTAGATTAGCAGGTTTCTGCAATATTAAATTAAATTAAGTTCACAATTTTTAAAATTAACAAACCAATTCGAAATGCAAATACTATAAGGAATGCTTGATAATTTTAGGCCTGTATATCAAGTGATTTGTATAATTTTTTAAGAAATTGAACACCTTTTTTTGAATTCGAAGCAGCGTCAAGACAAAAACAACTCATAAGGGGCCGTTCAAGTATTAAGTAAGCACTATAGGGGGGCGGAGGGTTATTGATTTGCTTATTTTGTGACATTTTGGTGACAGCTTTGCTTACTTTTGCTGAAAAAGGGGGATGGGGGGGTTAATAATTGTACTAAATCTGCTTACGTAATACTTGAACGATCCCTAATCAACAAATACAAGATATAACTATTGTTACACTTTTCAAAATCCAAATTGAAATGTGTTCCAATAAATGCCTATATTTCAGAGTGCTGAAAAATTGAACATTACTACCTCACAATGTCCTGTTCTGCTGCAAAAGAGTCTTCTAGAAATGTTTCCGCATAGTGCAATTAACAAGTGCACTGCCTTTACAGTAGCTACTTTGCATAAAAATATACCACATGATGATATATGTGAATTAGATTCGGAAAAGATAGCAATGATGGTAAATTAGCAATATGTGCAACATTTATTACTATTTTATTGAATTTATATTTCATATATTACTAAATGTGTTTTAGTTTGTATATGCAGCACAAGAACTATGTACGAGACTAATTTTATCAGGATATTGGGCCGATTTTATAAATCCTTTCAGTGGAAGGCCATTCAATGGCCCGGTATCTAATAATAATAAGGTTTATGATCCAGAAGAACAATTTCTTTGTCTTGGTTTCAGTATAGATAGTAAAGATAAACTCTGTACTATCATCAAAGGAGAACATGAGGGTCAAAAGTTCTTTAAAGGTAATTTCATATTATTATGATAAAATAAATATGGTATATTAATGGCTTAACTTAATTCATTAAAATTTCTATGATTCTTCAACAAAAAACTGCAAATACTTCTTATGCAGATTGATTTGGAATTAAAATAAATTTATTAACTTAAAAAATTAAGTTAAACAATACAAATCCTCTTACATCTTGATTTTAATTTCTCAAAAATATCTTTCTTGAATACATATCAAAAGTTTCATTTATTTTCAGTGTATTGTTTAATTTACTTAATCTTCTGTTTATAGGCAATATATTCTCGGATGCCCCTTCACATCTTGAAACATTTTTGGACATAGTAAAAAGTTATGAACTAGAAAATTTCAAATGAAAATATTTCTAATCCCCGAAGTACTATATATTTGTGATATCAGATAATTATTTATATAAATATGATATTGTTTCAAATAAAATGTTCATATTGTTAAGAAATTATTGTTCTTTAAAATGTTTTGTGGCAAGTTATGGAAAAAATTCAATAAAAATATAATTTAGTGAAATGTGACCTATCTATTTTAAAGTATACTTTTCTAAAAATAACTCATTTGTTAATATAAGGCAGTATACAAATATTAGGCTAATTAAAAAAAAATAATTTGATCTAGTTTTTATGAGTTTAAAGAATAAATTCATTATTTATACAAATTTATAACAAAAATTCTGTTTATCTTTTACTAGAAAGTGATTCAATTCATATTTCCAAACAAATGTGTTCAAATTCAATATGAACAAAATATTTGTCAATATTATTAAACTATTTTTACACTAGTAAATAAGCACTTTGGCAAAGAATCAAACAGATGCTAAATCTATACACATACAAATTTAGTTCTAAAACATTTATAGAAGAAACCAGATCCGTGAATGAAAATGTTTAGAATTTATATTTTATTTATAAACATTTCGTTTGTAATTTGTTTATTTACTATTGAGTGTTTTTTATTATTTTTTTAATTCTTGGTCGGCGTTTTCAGGTTTGAGTATCAAAGCTGTTTTTTAACTTTTCTAATCACAGTCGACGTTAAGAGTAATTTATATTAAGAAGTTTAAATTCATAATAAAATAAAATCTTTAATATAATAATTTTTGTCACTATGTATTTAATCATTGTTCTGATTATTTGATACTAAACGGTCTCCTAGAGGAAATATTTAATGACGGGTATATAAAATCTACTGTTACCTGAAACGACAAAAGATTTATAAAGTTTTCGAAAATTGAACCCTCATCCCCACTTTTCTGAATTCTGTTCGATAATACGAAGGGTATTTTTAAGCTGTAGGGTTTTCTGACTCACTTCGGCTCTACAAAATTTTACCCTTCGAGGGTTCAATTTAGTCGAGTCAATGAAGCCGCAAAACAGGTAAAAAATAGAAACTTTTTAAAAACAGCTCTGATTTTATTAAATTTCCGTATGGTAAGTTATAGTAATCGCAAAAAAATTGAAAATAAAAAATTTTATATATCTTTTCGTTTCAGCGGTTTCTGAATATTTTGGCATACCTTAGAAAAAATTAATGTATGTGTGTTGTGTGGATACAAATTTTCGTTGTCGATTTCGGGAACTCCGATTTGAATAATTCAAAAAACATTCGATTCGTATTGATAAGGACACGTGCTAATTAGTTTTTGGTGAAGACAGGTCTAGCCGTTTCGAAGATACGGGGCAAAAGTGCCAAAAACGGTAACTCAGTTTTTAAGAGAACGGAGCGTCCGATTTTAATAATTCAAAAAACATTTTATTTGTATTGACAAGATGAAAAACTGATTAAATTATTAGAGAGTCCAGCGGTTATGGACTTTCAATAAAAATAACTTAAAAAAATAACATTTGGCGGCCAAAAATGTTTATGGAACATATGTACATCAAATTCTCCGATATTTTTATAGAGATTTTAATAATGTGTACACATTTTGTGTAAGTTTTTTAGGTTTCGAACAATGATTTTTGATTACGGTACGAAAAGTTCCATCAATTCGCCTTAAGGCACGATGCCATGCACCTCACTAGCTAAAAAAAAATGTTTAAAATCAAAAACATTTCAGAAGAGAGTTTTTTTTTATTGTATAGCAAATGTATAATGAGAAAAGTTTTCGAATGGATTCTTGAATAAAAAACTATTTGTATATTATTTTTCCTTCTAATAATAGTTATTATAAGTACGGTTATTAGTAATAATTTAATATTTACACCATAAAAAAAATTACCAAAAAAATTTATATGCGCAATGTTTTTTTTAATGAATGACTTTAAAGTGCCATTTCCACTAAAATTAAAATTAATTGTATTCTGCCTAGAATTAACTTTAATACAAAATATTAGATAGATTCCAACAATTTGGCTGCTTTAGGACATTGTAAAAAACATCACGATTTTAAGAAACAACTTATTTTCTTAACTAAACTTATTTTCATAATATCTCAAAAATTATGAAATATACGTATAAAACTATAACGACAAAAAAATTTATAGAACAAGATCTACATTTTCATCATTATATATTAAAACTGAACTAAATCGATATTTTATCTGGGAACTTTCTGCAAAGCTTTATTGACTCGACTAATGAGAGGGATATAGTGTTTAATTTAATAAAACTGGTATTATATAATATAATATAATTTATATTATATTATATATAGGCGATATTAATATATTAATTATATTAAAATTAATTAAATAATGAAATATTTTAATAACTATTTAATAAATAGCCTGGTTTTCAAAGATACTTTGACTAATTCAGATTTTAAAGATTTGTATAGACCATAAATGAATTTAATTCACTTCCAAATAAATTAGTATTTACAGACCAATCAGCAACTAATCAATTAATATTTAATTAATTAATTAATAATAAATTAATTAATTAATAATTTATATTGAATGTTAAGCCATTAATATTTTAACACATATTTTACATATGTGTGCGTATGTAGCGTATATGCGTTTTGTTATACATATTTACATGCTTAATATATGAGCATATCGTTTTTATCAATATGTACGTGTTGATATTTTTTGATGGTTCTTGAATTATTATTGTAATGAGTTTATAATAACAATTTAACAAAATATAAGCTGAAATCAATAATTTTCATCATAAATTCCTTAATAACGATCTGGTACAGTTCGTGACGACGCGACGCTGTTATGACGCAACCCTGTTTCCATTCATATTCAATATACACATAGATAAAAGAAGAGTATATGTGTATATACAATATATATTCACATATATTCTCTTCGTTTATCTATTCGTATTCATATATTTTTGATATGTGAATTTAGATTTTTTGTTTATTTAATATGTTTGACTTGACCACCATGTTTTTTTCAATAAAAATATATTGTCTATATTCATATACGCATATTGTAAAAATAATTACAATAATTGAAATTTTACTAATATACCAATGAAGTAATAATTATATCCGAAGTCACATATCTTATGAAAATACAATGTGCACGTGATTTCTGATATCATAGGATATAAAATATTATATAACACATTTATACATGAATGACAAAAAATATATATTGCTATATTTAAATTAATAATTAATTATTTTTGCATCTCAATTGGTTTTTTAAATTTATTTATAAAAAATTGTTTACTAAAATCCATATATATTTTTTTTTTATAATAACTTCCCGTAGGGTAAGTTATAGTAATCGCAAAAAATCAAAAATGAAAATTTTTATATATCTTTACGTTTCAAAGGGTTCTGAATATTTTGTCATACTTAGAAAAATTGATGTATGTGTGTTCGGATACAAATTTTCGCCGACGATTTCGAATCGGCCGATCAACCGATATTCAAATCGATCAACCGATTTGAATAATTCAAAAAACATTCGATTCGTATTGATAAGGAGACGTGCCGATTAGTTTTTGGCGAAGGCAGGTCTAGCCGTTCCGAAGATACGGGGCAAAAGTGCCAAAATGGTAACTCAGTTTTTAAGAGAACGGAGCGTCCGATTTGAATAATTCAAAAACATTTTATTTGTATTGACAAATGAAAAACTGATTAAATTATTAGGGAAGGCAGGTCCAGCGGTTATGGACTCTCAATAAAAATAAGTTGAAAAAATGTCATTTGGCGGCCAAAAATGTTTATGGAACATATGTACATCAAATTTTCAGATATTTTTTTATAGAGACTTTAATAATGTGTACACATTTTGTGTAATTTTTTTTTGGGTTTGGCACCAAGATTTTTAATTACGGTACGGGAAGTTCCAGCGATTTGGCTTGATTTAAAAAGAAAAAATAATATTAAGATCAGAATATTTTAGAAAAGAAAGATCATTTTTTTATTGTTTAACAAATGTATAATGAGAAAGTTTTTCGATGGATTCTTGAATAAAAAACTATTTGTATATATATATATTTTTTCTAACAAGAGTTTATTACAATTACTGCTGTTAGTAATAATTTAATATTTACACAATAAAATTTTTAATTTATATTTATTTAAAATTGAATTTATATTTTTTGCCGATTAGTTTTTGGCAAAGGCAGGTCTAGCCGTTCCGAAGATACGGGCAAAAAAGTGCCAAAAATGGTAACTCAGTTTTTAAGAGAACGGAGCGTCCGATTTGAATAATTTAAAAAACATTTTACTTGTATTGATAAGATGAAGAATTGATAAAACTTTCATTAGGCAGATCTAATGGTTTTGGAGATCTAATGAAAAAAGTAAAAAAAAATGCCATTTGGCGGTCAAAATGATCATTAGACATATGCACGTCAAATATGAGATATTTTATAGAGATTTTGACAATAGTATAATTTTGTTTACATTCTTATGGTTCCGTATCAATGTTTATCCGTTAGACGGCGACGCGGCGCTTACGCGCTTTGAAAAATAGTTCAGAATTTCCAAAATATGTCTAAATGAAAAAACATTTTTTTTCAAAAAAAATTTATTTTAAAATAGTAATTTTTGTCAAATTTATAGTTTCTCAAAAATCTAACTTTTTTGAAGTAAATTTTTTCAAAATGTTGATCGTTTTTAAAAAATAATAATTTTTGGTACGGGAAGTTCCAGCATTTGCTTTAAAGGCACGATGCCATGCGCCCCACTAGTTTTAAAATTTTTACAACAGTCCCATTTACATTCACAAATCCATAATCATTTAATAAGTCTATAATATATATTTTTTAAAATGAGCATTTGAACATTTTAAACGAATAAATGTATTCATCTAAAGATGTAGATAAATCTACGTTAAAACTGTATCATAATAAAAAAATTGTGTTATATATTTTGTATTTATATAAATAAAATTTTCGTTAATCGTATTCGTAAGCGATTTGTGTGGATTCGTGCTCCCGCCATGAGAACATCTGCCGTTGAGCATTCGATGGTTGGCATTGGTTAGCTTGAATGTTGTTTTGGCGCGAAATTCTCCCACTACGCACGTATATGAAAACGTCTATGCTGTACTCTCGTTCCATAGCAGTTCAGAACGTTTTGTACTGTGCTTGTTTGGTATCATTTCGCTAGTGTTCACTCAGTGTTTTCATCAGTATCTCTGAAACAAATATCTGGTAAGTGTTTTTATTATTACATATATTTTAATACATACTTCAACAAATTATTTCTGCATATTTAGAATTAATTTCTGTGGAGTATTATTTTTAAATGCGATGGTTTTGTGTGCGGCTTGTCCGAGTGACTGTGAGATGCCGCTTTCGGCTTTGCGTTTTTATTTACAAATATATTCTAGCGTTATTATGATTACTTTTTTTATAAATAATATTACATCTAGCAGCAATTCTGTATATTTAGTTT